TGGAAAACCCGACTCTAGCGCCAAGCGACAGACCTTAGCGCCAATCGATAAAGCTTAGCACCTGGCGCTATTGCCAGCGTCTGGCGGTACAACTAAATATGCGGCGCTAGAGTTATTTCAGTTGCACCAGACTGTCTAGCCACTCAGTGCGGTTATTCCTACCTCTTGAAATATATTTTGGGTTCCTTGGTATGCCAGTTAGCCCCACTAAGCAATTTGACATGATTTTAGTAATCGGCTTGATTACAATTACATAAACTAATCGACCTGATGAATGATCGTTTTACTTAGTTTAAAGTGCCTAAGCATTAGCTCATTACAAAGCACCGACATAATGGTTCATAATGGTTCACAATTCAGAAGGCACCGGCATACTGGTTCATTCAGCGAAAGGCACCGACATACAGGTTCAAAAGCAGCAGAAACGCAGACGTAAGGGCATAGCGGAAGCAAGTTCTAGCAAGCTTTTAAAGATTGACAAGCGTGGGTCTTCAGTAATTTTCCTTAGAAGATTATCGCAACAAATGAGGATAGCTTCAAGCGAGGATATCTTCGGCAGCATTCCCTAGCTTGCGGAGAGTTGTCACAAACAACTGAAGGTGATTTCAAGCGAAGTTGTCTTCAATCGTGTTCCCTGGCTTGTGGAAGATGGTCACAAAGTGCTATAAGGTCATTTCAAGTGAAGCAATCTTCGATGGGTTTCTCTAGCTTGCAGAAGTCTATCATAGCGGAATTGGAGGTTGTTACAAGCGTAGTAGTCTTCAGATGGCATTCTTTAGCTTGCAGGAGGTCGTCAAAAATGCAGTAATACAATAGCACAGCAATAAATCGGTTACTTTAGAGACATGTGCTCGACAGTGCAAGATACACGTTTCTTAACTCTCTTATCTATTTAACCAACTCTAGTTTTGCAGGTTTCGGCGTTGCAAGAATGATTTAGGATCGTAGAACGTTCTGAATCATTCTCCGTCCCTATCAGAGACGATGATCAAAGTAGTCAAGGAAAAATCCGAGACTCATTCTGTGAAGTTCTCTAAGGTTAGAGAATCTTTCAGTAACGTTCAAGGATGTCGAAACAGTCCTCGTTTTGCTAAGTGTTTGAAACAAGTAGCTATTAAGGCTAGGGAAATTTTTCCCTAGTCTTAACGCGCTAAAGAATCTAGATTGATCCTTTACAATTTTAGAATACTTTTACAAGTAAATGTATTTTGGGTGATGTCAAGTCATGAGAGGAGATCGGTTTTAAAAAGAGTAAAGGGGGATGATTTCCTCTCTATCATGTCATCGTTGGTCTAAAGTCCCTCGATATGTCATTGAAACTTTAGCCTGACTTTAACAAAGTAAAAGAATGAAAAAGGGTTTTCAATATTCGAACCGAAAGGGGTCTGGCATTTGAGCCAGGTCCGGTATTCAAACCGGATGTCCACAAGATAGAAATACATGTCTTATGACTGCAGGCATATATCCAAATCCAGTGAGAGAGAAGAAAGTTAGTAACCCTCTTAACAGTTTTGTCCACAAGATGAGTACACATGTCTCAAGACTGGGGGCACGTGACTACATGGGTGTCACACCGTCTCGTCGCTCCTTATATAGGGGGTGGACGGACACCCTAACTGTCCGGTAAGTTAGTAAGCTCACTAACTATCGTATTTGCTTCCATTCAAGAAGTGCCTGTTCCTGAAGGTTCAGCACGCCTGTCGACTCGTCAACTAACGCCTACATTAAATAGTCTACCTTTTAGTTTCGAGAGGTAGATCTCGTAAAGCTTGGGCTGAGGTGAAATTTTACACAACACCTACGCCGTACAATTTTACGATGTACGCTACGCCATTCTCATTTTTACGCTGCATAAAAAAAAAGCCTTCCTTTTGCTTCGGACGTGAAAAAGAAGAAAACCCGGACACTTATAATGTCAGTACAGTAAAATGACAAACCTGTCTATGGGTGCTTTTACGTAAAGCACCACCACGAATTGTCTTAAGGCACGCTTACGAAAAACGTTCAAAACGTATGCTTGGGAAGGCACAAAGCACGGTGTGCATGCAAAATGATGCAAAAAACTATCAAAGAAGAAAATAAACTACAAATGCAAAGCAATTAAAAGGATTTTGATAATTTGCGCGCCATTACGTCTAATAACAAGCAAAAACCGTTGAAAAAATGATCAAACGGATCAAAATTAAGATACTGGTCATTTTAGTGACCAGTATCCGCGCGCAACTCAGTGGTCACGCTGGCCAGGCCCGCGCATCGTTCTGAGTTGCGCTGCTACGTCACACACAACTTTTGGAGTTGCGCACGACACTCAGTTCAGCAAAAATGCGAATGCGATTTTTCATTTCGCTCTCTCTCTCTCCTTCCTTCCTCCATTTTCGACTCTTTTTCACTCTAAAGAGCTCTGTTTTTTGCGATTTTCGAAGCTGAAGGAAGCAAATCTCGCTCTTAATTCACATTTTCCATAATCCAATGTAAGTTTTTTGCTTAAATTCGTTCATTCTTGGCTCGCATTTGAGCGTTTTTTGAATCGTAAAACCCCAAATTCTGAATTTGGGGATTTTTTATTCGATCCATTATTCTTGTAATTGTTTATTCCATGTTGTTATGCTATGTTTTAATGAGTGTTTTGCAACAAATTTCATGAAAAATGGTTAAGTATTGAACCTTGTATGAGCATTTCTTTGTTTAAGTTCGTTCTTGCTCTTTTTGCGCGAATTTTTCTTGAATCTGTTGCTTTTCTTGCTCATTTTTGTTATACTTGTTGAATATGTAGTAGATTGTAGTATTAGAACTAGTATTTCTTTCATAATTCACATTTTGCAAATTTTGAAATTGAAAAAATGGCGCAAAGTGTATACTAAGCTTGTTTTTGCCATATTCGAACTTCAAGATTGTTTGGTAGACGATAATTATATTAGTGTTACTATTATTTGTCTTGGAATAGTTGATTCTTTGAGATTTTGAAACATAATCCCTTGAATGCTTAGTTGAAACTGGTATAGGATGGCTTTTGTGGGAATTAAAAGCTCCAATTTACTAAGTTTGACTGCAGGTATCGTAGCCCCCAAGTATAGGTGGCATGCGATTTTTGTGTTTTGTCCTATCGGCAGTCGTTATGCTGCTGAAATGGATCTAGAACATAATTAATAGTTTAGGAAAAAATGAACTAATAGAGAAATCTCCTCTATCATAGCATGGATTCGCCTCCATTTGTCGACGCTGAGGTGATTCTAGGCGGTCTTGACGAGGTATTTTGCCCTCAAAAGAGGGTGACCCGGCCTCGTGAGGAGGTTTGAGAGCAACGCGTCGCTGCTGATCGACGTCGCCAGGAGGATGTGATCTGGGAGGCTCCTCCTGACTGGGACCCTAGGGTCCTTAACTGGGATCCAGACCATCACGTCTCGGTTCGAGGGTGGCGCGGCATCGTGAGTTTCTTACGCCTTCTTTTCTTTACTTTCCCTCTTTTCTTTTAATAACCGTTTTTTGATTAATTTGGCTCTCTCTTCTCTCTTTTTTTTTTTAGAGTGAGTCTAGCATGCGTCTATACGGCTCTGGTGACTTGCGGACTCGTTTTGAGAGCTTACCCGATGAGGTAGAGGAGATTATGGAGCTTTCAGGGACAGGTCGCGCGCTAGCGGCTCTTCGGGATTTGTCGAGTCAGTCTGCTTCGTCAGCTTTCCTCCGCGGATTGCTGGAGTTTTGGTGGGATTCCACCAACACTTTTCACTTTCCGTGGGGAGAGATGATGGTCACCCCTTACGACTTCTCTATGATTACGGGTTTTCCTTTTGTAGGTGAGCCTGTAGTTATAGAGGTCGTAACAGGGCAGGACTTGAGACTGAGGGATCTTGTGGGGGATCGTCTGGCTGCGATCCTTGACGTATATCCTCAGTCTTATCCGTACTCGATTCTTGCCGACGAGTTGTCGGCTGATGAGGTTGACCGACAGTGTACACGTGAGCAGCTGGCTCGGATATACATCACCCAAATTCTTTCCGTCACTCTCTTGAGTGATTGGGGGGAGCGTTTCCCTATCGGGTTACTTACTTGCCTCATAGACTTGGGGCAGGTAAGTAACCTGAACTGGGCGGAGATGTCGTATGCCCGTATGCTTAGTTCTTTGGGCAAGGCGACCCGAGTAGTGGATCCTGCGGCAACTACTGAGGTGCCTTGGATCTCCCTTACATGGCATGGTCGTATCCTTGAGGTACGTACTTTGAACTTTCTTTGAACTTTTTATTATTTATTTTTCTCTTTGTAAGCCTTTTCTCCTTTGTTTAGGGTTGGGGATACTCGTACCTGCCATTCCTAGCCCCCAGGGTGCTCGGGGCTGCTTACTTTCCTATTGGCCATCGACTGGCTACGATTAGGAAAAGGCGAGCTACTTCAGCCGGCGACTTTCGCCAGAGGATTCTTTCGACGACCCGTGCGTCGGTGAGTATTTTGAAAACACATGTGTATCTTTCTTTACATATTATTATTTCACTTTTATGATTTTCATGTGATTGCATTAGATCGATCTCCGTCCTTGGAGTTTGGCACTAGTAGAAAAAATGTTATTTGTAACTGGCGAAATTGACTTTTTGTAACTGGCATTGTTGGTTGCGAATGCCACCGTTACAACTAATGAAAATTATTTGTAACCGGCTCATGTTAGTTACAAATAATGTACTATTCGTAATTGGCTTAACATAATGCCAGTTACAAAAAGTCTATTTTCCAAGTTGGAAAGCATACTATTCGTAACTGGCACTAAGTTTAGCCTGTTACAATTAGGGTATTACTAGTAACTGGCAAATCTTAACGCCGATTACGAATATATTTTTTTATTTTTTTTCTAAAAAATACTTTTAGTAACTAGCATTAGATTATGCCAGTTACAAATAAATAAATAATTTTTTTATATAAATATTTGATTCGAATACAATTATGGTAGTATATCCTATAAAACGACCCATCGTCAAACAGGTTACAGTGAGAATTGGGGAAGAAGAGAAGGATAAAAAAGCCAGAACTTGAACTTTTCAACCTCTATAAATCTCTATTTCCTTTTGAAGTATACATACATGATACAAGTATCTCATAATAAAATAAATAAATCAACTGACACACCCAAAAGCTCTAAAGATGGCTCACACAAATTGAAAATCAGACATCATGCAATTCCTAGCACCAAGGTCCAATGAATGATTGAGATGAGATATGAGGAGGAAAGACCCTGTTTTCTGCAAAGCTTCAAGAAGGCAGATGTTCTTTGCACAGTCTTTTCCCAAGGTCTCGGGGCTCATATCTAGAGCCTTTTAACTTTATGACCTCACTTGATACTCCCATGCACGAGTTAGAGCTTTGAAACCCTTGAAAGGCCGATTCTCTACATTTGACACTTCAAGCTTATCTATTTTCAGGCCAGAAAGAGCAATACCCATGATGCGGAACTCTGCTACCTACAAAAGTTGGGAATACATGAAGCTTTTCAAATCCTGCTTCAAGCATTAATGTTCTTGTCAAATAAGGGGCTTTGTCCTTTGGTATTCCGCCAATAGACCAAGAACAGACCTGAATTTGTGTACAATGTAAGTTCATGGATCAGTCAAGTCTAACAACTCCCCCCACATAAGAAGAAAAAGAAAGAAAAAAACAATCAATCATTCGTTCAAAGCTAAATAAGGAAAGGTAATCTTTGTACTAATAGCTGGAATCATATAAAAATGTTACCTTGTTAGCAAGGATGTCCACTGTTCCATGATTTGCTGTCAGATCTGAAGATACAACACAAGGATGAGAAACGGAGAGTAACTGAGAAACTAGCTGATGAATTAAGGAATTCAGTTCTGAATCTTATCTCTGAATTCAGTTCTGAAATTCAGCTCTAAATTCAGTTCTGGAATTTAGCTCTACCCAATTTCAAAGCCATCACAATAGCGACTAGTTCATTTTCTCTAAGTTGCCTAGACTAGTTCATTTTCTCTACGTTGCCTATAATGAGAAGGTTCATATCAAATAACCAATGGGAAATTAATCACAAATAACATAAGAAATTTACAATACGAATTGTTAAAAAATTAATATAGGATGTAGAAGTAAGAAACTCAGTGTTTTTTTATTTTTTTGGAAATCCACAACAATTATTTGATAGAGCCAACAATTAAATATAAGTGAAGCCACCACAGCTAAGATAGAGAAAAACTAATTTACTTGGGGAAGATCCTTGTTAAATTTTCGGATATTCAAATTGATCTAAATTGATCAGGTTAGTCATTAAATTATTATTGGATAGCATCATGAAATTAATTAATTTTTACCCACTACAAAGCACATGAAAAGATGCAGCGATTCATACCTAGTCCTTGATACGCATGCTCATTGTCGGTATATATGTCAGATTTAAAGATTGTGCTGTAATTTTCAGCAAATGCAATATAGTGTGCAGCCCCAACCTAACAACAATAAAAACAACAAATGTTGGTATTAAATATAAACTACTCCAAAAGCAAAGGTAGTTGACAATGCACAAATTTAATGTTTTGGTCTTCCACAAAGATACTCAAAGAAAAACTGTGCAACCCCATTGCAGCAAGCAGTCAAGTAAAATATGATGATTACCTTTTTCTGGAATCCGACAATCCCTCAGAGAACTCAATTTGACAATTTGGTATGACAAAAACATAAGTCTTTAAGACCACATATTTGACAATTTGGTACGTAATAAATAGATAAACGACCACATAAATCTGACATAGAACTCAATCTTGTACCTTTGGCATATCGGAGATAGCAGCGCCAAGAAAAATCTTGGAATAAGACCAATTTGATAATTGAATAAAAATTATCAAATTTATCGAACCTGATATTTGTTCGGGAAGTAACAGTTTATCTTTGATTTTAGAGTAGGGATTAAATTTAAAGAACAAGATAGGTAAACAACGCCACAAGTTAATTAATTATCAATTAGCGTGACAAATTTTGTAGAAAATTCGTACATTAATAATGGACAAAAATAAATAATACACCTACCTGATGCTTGCAAGATTTAAAGGTAAGCTCCATATTGATCACAAAATACAAACTACAAGGTTAAACAATACCAATCAAATACACCAGTATAAAAATAATCAAAGGTGGCCCAACACTAAATGCTTGATTAAATCCAAAAAATCACTCAATTATATATGGGGGAAGGATTTACAGAGAAAAACAAGGGTGCTAAACAATAAAAATAGCAACTTTAACAAGAAAATTTTGATTCAACTATCAAATTAGGCTCATAATCTTGTAATTTTCGAGGCTATATCGTGTGAATTAGATGAATAGGGAAAAACTAATTCAATTTCATACCTCAAACTCGGCTGGAATAGCAACTCTCAGAATAAGGTTATGAGTTAGCAAAGGCAATTTATGCATAGCACAAGTAGATTAGCTAAAAAAAAGACATTGTTAGTTAAATGACAAACATCCTATGTCATATTATATCAACCTTAGATTGCATCACTTATCTCCAAGACATATCGAAATTCGAGCAATCAAGCAAACATATTTGCTATGCCACTGAAAGGTACTAGTACATTTCTGTTATAAACGGAATTGCACAAATAAAATAGTAAGAACAATGTTACCGAGAATAAGACTGAGTCGCGGACTATGTCGCTCTCTTTAGAACATTCGCGGCACTGCCTCAAACTTGTGCAAGCAGCTCGTACCAAACCGGATGCCCCCAGGATAAAACAGTCTTTCACAAGTATAAAATACCGGCGGTTTTGCACCGAACCAGCGGACAACGGAACACCAGAAAATCAGAAAGAAACCGCTCGACTGTTTTGAGAGGGAGAGAAAATATATTTTGCAAAGTGGTTTTTTGTATTTTTTCGTGTGTATAAAAACAAAGTTGGAACCGTCCTTTTATAGGTAAAGATACGTAACAGCTTAAGCATGAAAACGGGAGAAAGATTAGCAACGTTTACTGCAATTAGTGTATCCGGTAAGCAAGAATCAAGGCATTAAATCAGTGTAACGGTTAGCAGTAAAACAGCAACGAGAATCAAGCAATGTAACGGAAAAGTTTAAACCAAAACAGTAAAACGTTTTGTAACTGAATATTAATCAAACCGGTAACAAAAATTAAGTTTGTTTAATAACCCAAACCCGACCCGGCTCGGTTCGGCGCGCGTGTGTGTGATATATGGTTTACCATATAGGTCCTCCCTCTCCACAAAATGTGGGTAGCCCAAGGGCCACACCCCTTTAGCCCACTCTCTATATTATAAAGAGAGTAAAACTCTCATTTCCCACCAATGTGGGACTTTGAGTTTTTTCACAAAATTCAGACACTACACACTTGTTGTTCCAACAATTTCAAGCTTGTAAATTATGGTATTGCATACGTAATAGCTCAGTGTACTAAAAATTGATGATTCTCTCACAATAAAAAAACAATCATGCCCACATAAAATTAAACCCAAATTAAATAAAAAAAAAAAACGCAAAGCAAAAAATTCAACCAGCCCAAACACTTCCATCAATACGAAGAACTGCAGTAGCAATAAGATAGTGGCCATTTCGAATAAATTGTAAACATTAATACAATTTATTTCCCTCTTTTACACAATTAAGAAGAAGAGGAGAACCAGGACAGCGGCATTAACGGCGATGTAAGACAAATTGATGAACCCCATACCCACGAATCTCCCTCTCTCGCACCACCATACCGAATGGAGTTTTTGATTTTCTTCTGAAGTACCTAGATTGTGAAGTTGATATTCAATGATCACAAAAGAAAATATCTTCAGCTCAAGAGGTGCTTAAAAGGAAGATAAATATATCAAAAGCTACTTCAATCGAGGACTCAAAGGTACACTTCAATGACAGAGGCTCAAATCTAACTTTTCATCAAACGATTTGGGGGAGAATTTCAAGAAAGAGAAAAGCAAAACTAAACCCTAAAGTTGCTACCAAGTCGATTGAAAAATTAATTACCCCAACTCTCAAAAATCCCACAAAATCAAGTTGAATTTGAGTACTTTAAACGATTCTAATTCATCACCCGAAGAAGGTGGAAAGAAAGCAAATTTAGGAGCCCAACTGACAATAATATTTATAATGAACCTTAGGAGAAATTGGTATTCGATAATTACAGCAATAAAAAAGGAAAAAAATGCTTACTTGAGTAACCGCTTCAATGGCTAAGGGAAAGCTCGAAAACTACTTCGATGAACTAAAAACCCTAGCGTTAGCCATGGAAAGAGGGAAACGGAACGGTGATTGATGCCATTTTTGGCGATTTGAGGAAGAAGCTTAAGGAAAAATGAGAAAAGATTGAGGGAAATGAGAAAAACAGGAAAGAGAAAGAAGGGGCCAAAGAGGACGACAAAAGGAAAACCAAGAACAAGCCACACGTTAAAGACTAAAAAGACAAAACTACCCTAGGGAAATTGGGCAATTCAACAAAGGGGCAGAGGGCAAAGACGTCATTTCCTTGTTCATAAGGAACAGTAAATGTGCAATAGTGGTGCCTGGGCCTTTTATATAGGTTAAAAATTAAAGATAAAGAAAGATTAAAGATTATAGAGGGGTTTAGATATATAGATTTCAACAAGAAATTCCTTTTAAAGAAAACCCAACGAGAAATTGTTTCCTTTCTTAAAAAAAAAATTCAACGAGAAATTGTTTCCTTTCATTAAAAAAAAATAAAAAAAAAATTGTTTCCAATAACTTAATATTTGTAACTGATGTTTGTAAGTTAGTAACAAAATTTTTGGTCAAAGTTTCTTTGACTAAATATTTGTAACTGGCGTTTGTAAGCTAGTTACAAATGGTTTGGTCAAAGTTTCTTTGACCTAATATTTGTAACTGGCGTTTGTAAGCTAGTTACAAACTTTTTAGTCAAAGTTTCTTTGACTTAATAATTGTAACTGACATTTATTTAGTCAGTTACTAATAAAAGTTCAAACAATGATAAACCACATATTAGTAACTGACATTTACTACGCTGGTTACTAATGTCATGACATTTGTAACTGGCATTATCTTAGTCGGTTACTATTGATGCTTTCGTAACTAGCATAACATACGCCAGTTACTAATAGGGCGTTACAAGTAGCATCTTTTCTATTAGTGTATGATCGTCGGAGTCCCTGAGGATATCCGGTCTGGCATGGTTCATTGCCAGTTCCGGGCTCTCTACTCGGGACTCCCGGTGCTCTAGAGGACGGATGCTTGGTTTTTAGGCGAGCGTGTTCTCTGGCAGCCCTCGTTAGAGGAGCCTGTGGTTCATGTGGATTTTCTGATCCAGATGTTACGTCCGGATTTGTTGTCGACCGAGGATCGAGCTCAGGCAATCCTTTGTTATCCAGCGGATCAGCTGGTGTTGTAGGATGCTCCTTATCCGGCTTTCATTGCATCCAGGCTAACTCCTTTCCTAGCTTTTGTTCCGGTTAGTATCTCAATTCTCTCTTTTTCTTCTTTCTTCTTTTTTTTTTGTTTCTATTTATTTTTCAGAACTCTGAACCCCTTTTTTTTATTTATTATTTTTTTATTTTTTAGCGGGTCGAGCTAGGCGGTTGGGTGCCTCCTACAGCGGAGATCACGTATACCGATGCTGTCGGGTCGGTAATTCGTGAGATCCTTCCAACAGCGAAGGATGATGAGGGGATACCGTTCATTCCTGAGACGGTTGAATCGGTATGTCCTTTTTTTGTATATGTACTTAAAATAATTCTATTTTTTGCTTCATATACATTTATTTACTAACTGTCCTTGTATTGTTGGAACAGGTTCCGCGGGTGACCGTGAAAGACATGGTGAGGACTATACGTGCTTTCTGAGCTTCTTATCGGAGAGCCCTCGTGACTTTGTCATGTCGTGATCATCGGATGATTGCGGTAAGTTTCATTTATTTTCTTTTTCGACGAAGTTATTACATTTCATGTATTAATCTTTGTTTTGGGATTTTGCAGGATGTACAACAACCGTCTAGCAATCGCAGAGCACCCTGAGTCCGTTTGTACACATTTTGTTATATTTTTAGGAAACAAAAGTACATATTATTTTGTTTTGTTGTACATATGACACTTCTTTTTTTTTGTATATGTCATTTATATTATTATTATTTTTTGTTTCCATGCGTACGCATATAAAAGAAGAAGCAAAAAAATTTCCGAGGGAGGGAAAGGGTTCCCGACTTACCACCCTCCCCCCCCCCCCCCCCGAAAAAATAACAAAAGAAGGAAAAAAGGAAAAAAGAGATTAAAAAGGAAATAAGGAAAATAGAAATAAGAAAATAGGGGAAAAAAAGAAAGAAGGAAAAGAAGAACAAGAAAATAATAAAATAAAATAAAAAAGAAAACAAATAAAAAGGAAAGAAAAGGGACACAAGAGTTATCAAAAGGTAAGCGTATGATTAGTCTTAAGATTTCGTCGAGATTCCGTCATTATGTAAGCTAAAATACGGAAATAAACCTAAACCATATGTCACGACAGAGAAGACGCGCGCAACTGGATGAGTTGCGCGCGGCTGTCGCGCGCATGTGATTTAGTTGCGCGTGGATGTCGCGCGCAACTCATGAGTTGCACGCGCCATCTGTTTGTGAACTTTCCTTTGGCCAAAAATTGCCGAAAACATGCCCCTCTTGGGTCTATTTAAGCATGGTTTCGTGTAGGTTTTTTATCATCTTGCATTCATTCGCTTAGTAATATTATAAAAACTAAAAAGAATAATCTCTCTAAATTCTTACTCTCTCTGTTTTTTTTTTACGTTGAACAATGATGAAGACCTTTGAACAGCGTTTGAAGCAATGGGTTACCTCCCTTTCAAACGAGGACAAACTGGCTTTCAAAATTTATCACTTAGACCCTCTATTGAATTATATGCAATTAGTGATTAATTTTGATTTCCTTCATGTCGCAGTTAACCATTGGGACTCCAACCACCATCTCTTTTTATTTAAAGGGGACGAAATTATTCCCCTTCCTGGTGAGTTCGAGGCCTTGCTAGGCTTCCCTACAAATACTCTCCATGTGACTTATTCGCCCCCATTGTCGGATCCCAAACCTATATTCCAAATATTTTTCGGCTTGTCTGACAATGATATGACCAATATTGGAACTGAAGAAGGCGTTAATTTAATTCAATTTATTGAACATTTCGTCGCCCCTCGTGACAACATGACTAAACAACGCTTTAAAATTCGTGCTTTATGCTATTGTCTTGTTTTCAATTGTTTACTTAGGACAGACAAAGAATATGGAGATTATTCCATGGTGTCCGTAGTAGAGAAAATAGAGGGATATCATTCACCCGCTCCTTTGGCTTTGGCATAAACCATTTTATGCTTGAATCGCCTTAGAGGAGACCCTAACGAAAATGGTTTCACGGTAAGTCCACTCCTATTACACATAAGTTTTATTTTCGTCGTTTTTTTAGCGCAAGCCATGAAGTTGCGCTGGTATGTCCAGCGCAATCTTCTGCGCTGCGCGCGGATGGCGCGCGCAACTTATTCTGATGCGCGCGCCACCTGCTCGTGTAAAAACTGATTTTTTTTATTTTTTTTCAGATTTGGCTCATGGAGCGTTTGCGAATAGTTGATCAGCCACAAAATATCGTGGCTAATGGAGTACGAACATTCCCTGGACGTCAGATCCTTTACAAGCGCAAGAATGAAGAGGAATGGACGTCGTTTTTCTGTCACAGGGTTCCTAACATACGTTTTGTGATTCCTTGGTGGAACATAAATAGTATGGTTGGGAGTAGTCTCAATTTCTCTTACATTAGGCTTTTAGGCCTATCTAGTGCTCCTTACATTTTTCCTTGCAGGGTAATGAGACAATACGGGATGAAATCGATTATTCCCCCGCAAGATTGTGATGCACCCAAAGATGTGACTTTTAGACCCGAGCGAATTTTTTCGTTGGATAAAGTATTGGTCAAGTCTTCCAAGGTGGGTAGTACAAAATCCTGCTGCGAGTATTGTATTATCTTCCTTTTATAAAGCTTGGATGAATTAGGCGGATAAGGGCGAATTAAACAAGGTCCGATCTCAATATCAAACTGCCACGGCTCGCAATCCACCTAAGCCTTTAATGCATTTGGCCACCACTACCCCTCCTAGTGGCCAAAACAAAGGAGTGAGAAGAAAATTGGACGTCTCATCTCATAAGGCGCGTTGAAGGAATCCAAAAGGAAATCTCCCTCCAAACCCGCACAAAAAGGTGTGATAATCAAGGTACCTTCGCAACAAACTCGAAAGAAGACTCTAATAAAAGCTTCGAAAAAGGGAAAAAGGGTTGAGTAGGCTCCTATTCCTAAATTGAAGAACAATATATGGGTCAAGAAGAAAACTGTAGGAGAAAGCTCTAAGGTTTCTGAAAATACTGCGATGGAAACTACTCCTCCATTATCCGTGACAATTGAGGATATAGTGAAGCCTTAGAGTGTTACACAATTTCGTTGTGTTCTATCTTTTTTTTTTTAATATGTAATCACTACTATGCCCCTTTTCTTTATTTATGATCTAGTTCAACAATGTCTCCCTTTTTTTTGAATTTGAATGAAATAAAAATGACCTTTATGTTTTGATATTTTGATATGACCGAATCATATAGATTTCCTACGTATTTGTATCACGAAATCAGGTCATTGCGTAGTTCTAATTCTTATATTATGTATATTTTTTTTATTTATTTATTTTTTTCTTTAACTCCTTAAGTAGAAATTAAATGAAAAAAATTAATCAAACTTTGTTTAAAAGGAATTAAATCAAAGTTTAAATTTTATATTTTCCAAGCACATGTTTATATTCACAAAACGCCCTCCTTTTATCGTAAGTAGAAGTTGCAACTTCGTTCAAACAAAAAAAAAAGTCCGGGTTCGCAGTTTACGATCAGGTGGCGCGCGCAACATCTAAGGTTGCGCGAACTTGTCGCGCGCAACTGAATGAGTTGCACGTGACATCCGCCCGCAACTATTCCAGTTGCGCGCGACACCTGTACTACGAGTGTTTCCAAAAAAATATTATTTCTGTGCTATTACCCCCCAAGTGTGAAGATTTTTTTCGTGAAATTCGATAAAAAATCTGAACACTTAGAACGGTTTATTATTTCTAAATTACCCCCCCCCCCAAGTGTTATGTATTTTATTGTGTCATTCGGTAAAATACATAACACCTAGCATCTTTCAATTGAATGCTAATTAAAGTTAGTTGTATGAATGAACGAGTTAATCCGGACTTCATATGTAATATTTCTTAAGTCGATCAATGTTTATTAATTGGCGAATTTCATCTCCTCCAATGTCCATTAATCTGACGGCTCCTCCTGATAGGATTTCAATTACGCGGTAGGGACCTATCAATTAGGTTTGAATTTCCCTCTTGGATCGGTAGGTGGACCCCTAACCTCTTTTAGTACAAAGTCACCTTCTTTTATATTTCTAGGTTTTAATCTTTAATGGAAATGACGCGCAATGCGCCTTTGGTAGACTTGTACATGATGCAAAGCTCTTAATCGTCGTTCATCGAGCAAT